GATGGTGGCCTAGGAGGACTGGAAGGTGAAACTGCCACATGCATTTTTTGGTGAAGATAAGTGTATTTCTTATACCCATGTGTACAAACACGTAGAGCATGTTACCCTTAGGGTGGGGACTGCAGAGTGGCTTTGTGCAAATGTAGTGAAAAAGAATGGAATATGCACTCTTTGTTTTAGTTTGTGTCTCTGTAGAAAATCTGTTTCTTTGATTAATAAAAATTCTTGCATCTAATTAATTTTTTTAGGGATATTTGGCTATAGGATCAAGCAGGCTAAATGGAAAATAATAGGTGTTCTGTTTATGTGCCATCAGTGCAGCTGTAACTATATGGTATGTTATATCTTTGAGGAAACTTACCAGGAAATCTGAGCATTTTAGGGCAAATCCATGAGGCTTGTTGGTGATCCTGAGAACACTGAGGGTGCTGAACTGGTCAGAATGAGGGAGTGACCGTCACCTTTCCAGAAGAGTAATGTGGAAGGTGACTCTGGGGAATGTCTCGTCCCACACATCTGAACTGAAGTACAGAGCAGGGTGTGTTCTGACACCTCAAGAACAATATGCAGTCCAGGTTTTCTCTCCTCTTGTCAGTTTTGCTTACTACTTAGTCTCTTTCAGTACTTTGATTAGGAAGGATGTACGTACACAAATTCATAGGACAGGAACGGAGTATAAAACCCGGTGGCAAATCTGTTTCAATGCACATGCTGCATCTGGGTGTCTAAACTGGAGCTTCCTCTCACCTCTTCGAGGCAAAGTGTTTCCTCCAGCTAGTTCCTCCTGCTGGGCTCCAGTATGAGACTGGGCTTCACGTGTTGTGTCCCGACCCCTACAGACATCAGCAATGGCTGGTGCACAAATGATTCACATAAAGGGAGATACAGTGCCAGAGTGTTGATTACCTTTGAAGCGACAGTTTCTCACAAGTCTATAAAGTCTCCAGTTATTATTATGAAAACTACAGCATTTCCTGTTAGTCAACACTTACCAGGTCAGCAGTTATCAGTGGTTACTGGGCTTTGGTATCTGAAAAGGAAAGCTGCGTTTGTTAGTGACAAAACGTTGTCTTGCAGTATGTTAGACAATGCAAGTTATAAAATGGTGTTAACTTTAAAATGAAAATGACTTTATTCACAAATAAAGATGCAACAGAATAGCATTAACTCTTAGTGAACAATTTAAAACAGCATTTCATGATCCATATTTTAGTTTTCATTAACTATAGATTGTAACTTATATTTTACTATAGGCATTTCAGATATATTCTTTATGAAATACAGAAAAATTCTGCACTTAAGTAGAAGTACTAGAATCTACCAGTAGAACAAAAAATGAAATAATAATATAAAAGTTAGACTTAGATGTTTCAATGTTTTACTCCTTATTTAGTCCAAACAGCGACTGGAAAATTTCATGGAGCTGTTCACTGAAATAAATGTTGCTTTTGGCTAAATGGCTTTGAATGTGATTTTTATTTATTTATTTTTAGTATTTCATTTTATAATCTTTTTCTTTTAACTCATGTGAAATAGCAAACAGGGTGAAGGTGAACAACAGCAAACAACTAGCAATATAGTCTCACTTTGCTGTTTACCTGGGAAGAAACAAGTGAATGTGTCAAGGTGAAAAATGAAGATGTGGGGTAACGCATTAATTCTGTTCCATCAGTTGTCTCCTGCTACTTGGCAGTAGTTCTGATTTACTCACTGGGGACTATCAAACTCAGCAACTTAAGTTCCTAATGAAAACTTGGCCGAGCACCTCAGCCGTGTTAAGTTTTCTAGCTCTGGTAGCATCCGCTCTACTGTAACTTCTACATCAGTCCACATCTATCCCAAAGCCATATTTTCTGAAAGGGTCTGAATTATTTCTACTATAGATTTCTAATCAGTGGATGTCAGGAGCCGTCCTGCAGATGCTGCTTCCTTCCTTCTTTGCCTTATCCCCCTAAAAAAACCTGTTTGAAGGAGATAACCTTGAGCTCTCTAGTAAAGTTGTGTAAACAGATGTGGTGGGCTTGGCTGTAGCACTGACTTAGTAAAACTTCATCGGGAACTTCAATGGTATGAAGACAGAATGATTTTTATTTATTTCCACCCTCACTCAGGCTATTAAATTGAACTAATGTTGAAGATTGTTTGTTCCTTCACCACATACGGAAAGCCATCCTCATCCATCTTGTTCTAGCTTAGGTTCAGACAAAGAAACGAACAATCGCACAGATATTGCCGGAGTGTGGTTCGCAGTGTTCCAGGTGCCACTGAGGTGATGCCGAATGCTGTACTTGCTTTCTGTGCTTTGTCTGACAGCAAGAAGATGGAATGTCGTTGTATCCGATTATTTTATCATTTCACCTGTTTTTTTCCCCTCTTGTTTTTGTATTAGTACTGCTGTAGGAGTATCTCATGTTGTGGCAGATGCTGAAGTGCTATAGAATCACTGCTCTTTATCTGCTTTTGTATGAGATAATATTTTTTTACTGCTGAATTATGTTCAGTAATGAATTGTAACTGTGAATTACTCAGTTTGTGGCAGAAATATTTGTAAAATATAAGACATGGTTTTAAACATGCACTTTAAAAGTATAGAGAGGTTAAGTTGAACAGAGAGGGCTTATGTCTTGACTCTTGTTGGAGTAATCTTAGTAACTTTCTGTTTAATGCTGCAGTATGAATAGGGAAGCATTAATATTAAAATAAAGATGTAATAGACTTGCACAGTATCTTTTTTATGTATGATTTGGGTTTTTTGTTTTTGAGCAGTGATTTTAATTATTCTGTGAAGTAATAAGGAAAAACGTGAGCCTGAAACTTTCTCTGTGAATTAGTTGATGAGGCGTATATGAAAATAATCTTCTTGAGATATGTAGTAATGAGTTGTCTCAATGGCTACTGAACTTAATGTATGCTAAATATTAGAGTACTCTGAGTGTGTGTTCAAGTAAGTGTTAATGCTTTCCTTCTCAAAGTGCAGCCTCACAGCAGCTCTCAGTCATGGTATTTCCAAAGGTGTAACAGCTAATTTGAAGTCATTGCAGTCTGTCGTTGTAATGACTACTTAGAGACTCTCAAACTCAGGGCTCACCCACGTGCTCTGTGTGTGCGTGCGTGAGGTATTCCTGTGTTGGAAATCCTTGAGGGAAGAGTGGAGAAGGAAGCTGCATGAGTAGTCCAGGATATAACACCAGCCGCCTGCTTCAGGGCAGCCACTCGCCATCCTGAGTAGATCACAGTTCCATCTCACCCTGCTGTAAAAGGAAAAGTCAGCACAGTTAGCTGCTTCTGCACAGTTAGCTCAAGAGGTTAATAATTTTTCTGTTCCTCCTAAGTTAGGTTGTATTTGTAAGAGTACTGGGAGATGGAGTAGCGGGGAGCCACAGTGGAAGAACCAAAACGCAACTCAGAAAACACCATTTGGGGCTGTCACTTGCTGGCATGCAGACAGTGTCTGTGTCTGCCAGAAGAGAGGCAACGGAGCCAAGTTTTGTTTTTGCTTGTTCTTTCTAAATCTTCTGGAATAGCTGTAGGTACTCAGCTCACTTTTGAAGGAAGGAGTCTGCTGTGCTCTGTGATTGATTTCTCATGTGTGTTTTTCTTCCCACCTCTTAAGTGCACATTGAAGAGAATAACTAGCAGCACGAGATAGCTGAGGTACACCCAGCCAAAAAAAAACCCCCCTCAGAACACAGCCTGAGCCTTTCTCCTTGCTGATTGACGTGCTCTCTGCTGCCCACCCTCAACCCTTTCTTGAGCACAAATTGCTTGAGTAGGGTAGAGTGAGGTAAACATTAGTTTTATGATAAACATCAGTACTGAAGAGGAAGAATTAGTGCTATTATGATATAAGGAGGGGTTTTGAATTGGGCTGTATCAAGTTGGAAGGTTTAACTCTTTATAGGAGAAAGCCCTTTTCAAAGGATTTAACATGGCTCGCAATTCTCTGTAGTATTTACTACTTTGAGTTTTGGACATCATCAACAAACCTTCGTGTATAAGAAAAAGTGTATTTTAGATTTGCACTTTGCATTTTTTGCTACTAATTTTGTTACACTCTACTAACCATTTATCAAAATTCAGTCATATCTGTTCTCTCTCTGACTTAAGTTCCTCTGAAGTTTCAGAAACACTTCAGCTTTGGCCTTCCTACTGATATTGTCAGTAGGAATTTCTTAACATTGGTGGGTTTTTGTTTGTTTCCTTTGAGAATAAACAACAAAGTAAGTTAGTAGACTTGTGTGGCAAGTATTGTATATGTGTCTAGTCAGTGTATGGAGTTTGCATTTTAGTCCCACCCGCCGTACTGTGAAATTTTTAATCTTTAACTTTAATGGTCATTGGGGTTTTTGGGGATTTTTTTTTTCCTTCTGTTTCCATAGCTGGGCTGTTTGTAGAAAAGGGGTACAAAGCATATGTATAAAACTACAAAGAACTATTAACCAATAGATGGTAAGACACAGTGCCTTTGGATGTCCATCTGTTGAGTCTGGCAGGTGACAGGATGGGAGAGCAGTAGCCATGAGTGGAATCCAAAGCAACACAGGGGTGTAGAAGCAAATGTAACTAGAAGGATTGTTAGAACAAGGGAACGATCTTGTCGTGCATGTGTGTGTAAGAGATCCTCCTTTAAGCCCAGTCTGCGTGTGGTGTGGATTTGATAATGCCTCAGAGGTGTATATCTGTAGTCCAACTCAGCTCATAGCTTTGAAAGTCTCTGATACAGTCTCTGATATCAGACAAAACAATATCAGATGTGTACAGGTTTTCACATTTTCTTTTATTTGAAAATTTTTTGTGGCATTAAAAGAGTAACTTGTGAGAACCCTTTGTAAAGCCTGAAGTTAAAATAAATGGTTCTTTCCTCCCTCTCTCCTTTTTCTCTAGGATCTCGTCTCCGCCAGGAGGACTTTCCACCACGAATCGTTGAGCATCCTTCAGACGTGATAGTCTCTAAAGGAGAGCCAACCACTCTGAACTGTAAAGCTGAAGGGCGGCCAACTCCTACTATTGAGTGGTACAAGGATGGAGAGCGAGTGGAGACGGACAAGGATGACCCGCGCTCCCACCGCATGCTGCTGCCCAGCGGATCTCTGTTTTTCTTACGCATCGTGCACGGCCGCAGGAGTAAACCTGACGAAGGAAGTTACGTTTGCGTGGCCAGGAACTATCTCGGCGAAGCTGTGAGTCGCAATGCATCTCTGGAAGTGGCATGTGAGTAGTTATATATGATTAGCACTGTGTAAAACTTTATAGTTGCTTTTATGCTGTCATCTAGCACTTGCACTCAGTCATCAGCCTGGGAAATAACAAATGTGGGGAAGTATGGCATTTTGTCATTAGCTATAACTCTTAGTCGAGGCATTTCTGTATGCATTTATACAGTGACAGTGACCGTACAGAATGCGTGATTTATACTGAAGCAAGGTTCTAGCTAGTGTATAATCATGATTGGCACAAACATGGACAAAGGCTAATCTTCCTCTAAAGAATAATCTAATTTTTAAATTATGACTCAAGTTGGTTATACTGAAACTAATGTGGAAAAATACCTATCATTTAACATGAGGTGCACTGTCTGTTTCTCTTTATCTAGTCATCTGTTACCTCAACAGAAGCAGACGGCTTCTTGGTGACTCATGTTCTGTACTGCTGGAAACCTCAATCTATGCTGCTCTGTCATAAACTTGATACAGGCCTCATCCATTATGTGAATGGCAAGTGAAATTGTTTGCCATTTCTCATATCATCCAGAGCAGTCTTATTCTCTATCGATTCTCTTTGTCTTAACAGAGAAGTACTCGTGGCTATTTCAGAGACCACCTGGCATGCGTGATCTGCTTCCAGTAGAGTTAGCAGGGACATTCATTATATTCACATAGCAAACAAGCTCATCATACATAAAATACAATGCATTGTGTATTTTTTTTTCTTAGTTATATGGGTTGAAAAAATACTAATGTTTTTATTCAGAATATCAACTAAGGGTAGCTGTGTATCTTCAGATAAAGGTGTATTTTAGTGAATTTATGAATGCTCTTCTCTTGCCGGACTTCAGTTTTTCCCCTAGAGTTCTTCATGTGGCAGTAGTTTCACTGAAATGTGTTTGAAGTAGGGCTTTAGCACAAATTTGTATTGCTTGGTTGATAAAGAATGGATTTAAGTACACATTAGAAGGTATGTTGGTTTAAAGGCGGGGGGGAAAAAAGCACAGAAGAGAAACCTTTATTCCTGATGCAGTCTGCAGACTTTTATGGCTAACATCATGTGATCTGGAGGCTTTGGTCTTCTCAGAAGTTGCAGAAAATGCTATTTTTTAAATACTTAGATGGTGGTATAGGCCAAGTAGAACAGACTTGTTCAGCACCTTCCACTTGTCATAACCTAGATTCAGAACTGTTTCAAACAAAAAATGAAAACAGTTTTGGCACACATTCCCGGCACGAGTAAATGCATATCTGCCAATAAAGGCATCAGTTTTGGTAGGTACTTGGGAAGTGAGAAAACGACCCATTTAAGGAAGGCTGAAATCTGAGTGAGGATGACTAGAGATAAATTTACCAGCTTATTTCTCTCTTTGTACATGTGGTTTTTAAACCATCTGTTGAGAAATCCTATGAGAGGTATAAACACTTTGAAATCTTTATTACAATCCTGTTGAGATTCAGACATCTCCTGTTGAAGTTCAGAAGATTTAAGGTTTAAGTTATACCCTGAGTCATCAAAGTCACTGGTTACTTTGAAATTTAAAGGTGCTCTCTATTTCGTCAGTTTTCACTGATTGCTACTTCAGTGACTGCTGAGAGACTCTTGTTACGATATCCCCAGTCTCTGGAGTCGCTGTTTTAACCGCTGTAGCTGGTGGCAGGTCATGCATGAACTGTATGTGAGATAGTAGAAGACATGAAAAATAATAGGACTTGAAAAATAATAGAATCAACAGAGATATTTTAGAGCCGGATCATAAAACGTGAAACCTGAGATCTGAAACGATAGCCACAGTTTTTGCAATAGCAACATGCACCTGACACCAAGTTATTTTACTGTTTCCATGGCTTTGAAATGGAACTGACCGAATTCCCCAGTTAAATGCTTTAGCAGCCCAAAGCAGGCACTCCTGTTCTACTGCAACAATGCTTTGTCTCTCCTTGAGCCATACAGCAACTGTGATTGCAGAAAGGTGTGCATCAAAGGAAAAAGAAATGTAAATTATATATATATTACTTGTTTACTTAATTTTAGAGTTTTTGTGTTCAGTGGTTATAAAAGCACATGGCAGTGCTCGACATACTTATCAAAGGAGGACGATAATAAAACTCCTCAGTTTCCCTTTGTTGTGAGACACTTTTTAATAATGATTTCTGGTTCAAAATCAAGTTTTCAAGTGAGTTTCAGAGAACCGTATTTTAAGGTTCTAACTGTTTTCCTAATGTCATCGTTTCTGGACTGAAGATGATGGACAGGTCTGTAGCAGCCCGTTTGCCTGCTCGGGAGATGAGTTGTTGCTGACAACCCGTTGTCAGCAGCGAGTCCTCGTTCACCTGCTCCTAAGGGCTGCTGAGAGCTGCTGTGTGGCCCTGTCCCCAGCAGCCGGGACAGCCTCACTTGTGTGTCTGTAACCGTGTTGGAAACCGCGCTTCCCACACTGAGCCCGGCTGTTCTCATCGCCAGGAAAAGGACGGTTGCCCTTTGCTGACAAGAGGCTTCTGGATTATTATCTGACTGTAGGTGGCCTCAAATTGTGCCATTAGAGACAATCTGCTGCTCTTTACAGGTTTGAAATGCTCGAGTCTGCTGTTTTAGCGAAAGAGTCAGTAATTGTTTTACTTTGGTTATTAAATTGTCAGTTGCTAATAATGTTCACTTGCAGCTTTTGAATGGTTTGTGAATAAATATTTATTGGGTTTATGTACCTGTTAAGTGTGTTCATGTTTATGCACTGAGATGAAGAACAGTGTTAACTGTGGTGCATTCTCTTTTATTTCCTTTTCTTTTTCTTTTTCCCCTTTGTGGGCACCTGCCAGAAAAGCAGTGGGATTGAAAATCTTCTGATGTGTCCATATTTATGTGTAAAGACAGAAGAAGAACTCCGAAGTGAAATTCATCTGGGGCATACAGTGATTCAGAGCATGGTATGGCCCTTCCTGAAGGCAGTCGTTTTGCCCCTTGGTTTTTTTGGAGTGATTTTTTGCAAGTTGCTGAAGTCCCTGAGCTCTTTTTGTTTGCATAGCAGTTAATACCTCTCCCAAACATGGTGAATTTAGGTACCAGCTCATCCAAAGCATTTAAGTGGGCTGTTAAATCCATGCCTATTCAGAGCATGTGCATACAATCAAGGGCAGATATTTTTGTAATGATGCATGTCCTCAGAAAAATGTCTCTGTGCCAGTGAAAATGAAGAGCTGTGATTTGGGAAGCTACTTCATTAACATACAGAATGTGTTTTTGGAATTTTTTTGCCTTTAATTTAGAAGTCTTTATTCCAGAAGACATTTAGGAAGAAATAGGAGTTTGTATTTGAAGGCAGAGTTTAGGACTGATATGACTTATTCTATTTCATTCTTCTTTTCATGCATTAATCCATGGTGGGCTTTGTGTGCGTTACTGTTTTCAGTAGGAGCTTCCTCAGAAGGAAAAATTAACGCTAATGTTAACAGCAAAACCATTCTTCTGCTGTGTATATGTGGGAAATTCTGATGTAATGCTTGTATGCTTTATGGTTAAATCATCAAAAATAGATGTTCTAGTCCTAAAACTACTACAAAGAATTGTATTCAGAAGAGTAAAACATCTTTCTTTTTATTTTGTGCATCAGTTTCTTTTTGTTGAAGTTGAACAAGGGTTGGCATTATTAGAAATATGTTGATGCTCAAATTTTCTTGGGAGGATTTGGGGGTTGGAACTGGATGATCTTTAAGGTCCCTTTCAACCCTAACCACTCTATGATTCTGTAATTTTAGAAAGGGAAGTAGGCTTGAAGTAGTTTGATCTCTTGTGAAGCTGCATTCATACTTACAAGCTAGAGATTTTAAAATAAAAGCAGAGGTTTTCACACTGTTTGAGTTGACAGGACTGAACCCGCGTGGCAGAGCTTTCCCGTGGGAATACCAGGAGCCACGTTTGCGGCAGCGGCCGTGGGTGGGATTTGAGCTGCAAGCGCTGGGGCGCCGCGTGTAAGCGAGAGGGAGGGCACGAGGGTCCTGACGCCGGCGCTGGCTGCCTCTGAGCCAGCCCCAGTCAGCAGCAGCCCCCGGAGAGAGCAGCTGGAGCCCCAGGTGTTAAATACGTGACAGCAGCTTGATCTATCGACCACTGTAAGAGGGGCTTTGGCCTAAATGAAAATTCATGAAAAATTGATGAAGTCCCCAGATTATTTTTTACCCTTTTCCTTTTCCAGTGCTGTGCCAATGCAGCGAGGAGAGATTAAATGAGGTGTTGAACGCCTTAGTGGCAAGGAGGTTGTGGTTCAAAGGTCAGGGGTCAAGGGAGGGAAAAAAGACCAATTTTCTACCTTACTTTCCTTTGAAAGAAAACATGAAGCTTTTCAGGTTATCTGGGATTTGCTGCCATTTTAGTGTAAGAATAAAGCTCAGGAATATTCACAAATAAGATTCTTTTCTGCATGAGTTGGCAAAGGGTAGGATTGTGTGGGTTGGTGCTAATAGAAAGCAGTGGAAGACTCTGAGTCATAATTCAATTGGAGAACCAGAAATAGATTGAATTTTGTAATGGCAGTATAAATTTGGGCTTCCGTCTTCCTGAGTCTATGCTTGAACTGTCGTTTGAGAAGAGAAGAGGTCTTGCATTATTTATATATCACAGATTGCTTGAATAGCAGGCTTTGGAACACTCCAAACATCATGATCCTGGTTTTGGTAGATTCAAACGTGAATTATGTTTTTATCTGTAACAAGAGGCGTTCTAGTAGTGCACTGAGTTTAGTGTGAAGAGTCACAGGTGTATTCCAAAGCAAACATAAGCAAGATCTTAAACACAGGAGACAGTAATTTTACAAATAAAACATGTAGGTTTTAATATTCAGTGAATAAAGGCTGATAGGTATAAAATATATGCTATGCAATGAGTATTTGCTGGAGCACATGCAAAAGGCTCTAATATGTTCATAATAATGGAGGTAGTAATTTCATTTGAAATATTTGGGGTAAAGACCACCTCTAAAATAAGACAGAAAGAGAGTACAATATGTGTGACTG